TATATATATATATATATATATATATATATATATATATATATATATATATATATATATATATATGAAAGCATGATGAAACTAGTTCGTAAAAGGCTCAAAAAGCCCTGGGCTAAAAGTCCAACCGGGCCAAAGTTTTCTCAAAAGCCCGATTTGATAACGTTTGATCAAGCCTATTTGTAGGACTGAAAAAAGCCCAAACATTGTTTCTCTCTGTCTAATTTGACGACAACAGCACATCCCTGAATGGAAAAATATATGATGATTCCGTCAAATTAATGGACCTTTTTTTCTGGTAATATTTCCATAATTTCTTAACATGAGAAGCTTGATTACGAAGTCGTATAAGAAATTAGAAAACTATAATTTTTTTAAAATAGAGATTAAAAGTCAAAATCTTTAAAAATAATTTGAAGAAACATATATAAAATCTAATATGATGTGATAATTTTGTTCTTTATGAATAACATGTTATATAAGAGTGCCGCATATGATGGCTTAGAGATGTCACGGAACACCGGAAGGGACCTCCTACTGTAACTGCAAGTGTAATCCTTCTTGTACTATGTTGCTTGATACTGGAAACTGTGCTTTACACGCTTATCGTTGGTGGATCTCCGTTTTGTGCCAAATTATACACATTGTAAATTTCCATTCTTTTTTACCTTTTGAAAAAGTGAAGTAGAAGGCCATTTCCCCACTGTCATGTATGTGAAGTCAAAGTAACGTGTTAGATTGACACTTGGAGCATATTTTTCATAGATTAATGGCTGCATTTGGTTACTTGAGATGCTTATGGAAATTATGATAATTTATTTATTATGATTTGAATATTTATAAAAAATGTTAAAATTCATTAGTTATAGTCAATACTTTATATTATAAAACAATCAAAACTTTTATGAAATCACATATATTCATCAAATTAAATGAACGGTTAAGATTGTTTTGTATTAGTTGTACAAATGTAAAAGGTTACATAATAACTCCCCCTTTTACTTTTATACTATACCATACTCGGGAGCCATGAATTTTAACAATTTTAAAGTTTCACTAATTTTATTAGAGAAGATTTAACAATGATATAATACTTTCATGTAATAGATACTTTTGTGATTTTCTTAGTCGACATCTTTTTCTTGTTGATTAATTATTTACTAGATTTTTGTAATCAAGTGTATTGGATATTTCAATCAATCTTTCAAAACATCACTCGATAAACAGAAGAGCGCTACACCTTCCACATCGAGTGTCCTAGACCGATGATCGAGAATTCGATACCTGCATTTGAAAAAATAAAGTTACCGCAACCGAATAACTTTCTCAGTGCTAATCCCAAAAAGGGTCATTATGAATAAGAACAAATCGGTCCAAAATTTCTACCACTCTCCTCTAATCATCTTTCTGTGAAATTGGATGCACCATAAACACAAATTGCATGCCTAAAATCAAGTACTCCAGGGATCGGTTTCCGCCCTCACTTCCGATGGCTCCACCACTTCTGTCTCAGTGCCTTCAGATGTTGAGTCTGAAGTTGATTCTGTTGTTGAATCAGCAGCAGCGGCAGCTTCATCTTCCTCGACTCTTCCCCATCTTCCGCCAAGGGCAACCGCCATCATCTCATAAATCTTGCCTCCCAACTCAGCTGGACTATCAGGCTAATCAAACATTCCAATAACAAACTCAAAATACATACATACATAAGATCACGAATACAATAATCTTTTTTTATGATAGAAGAAGCTTACAGTGAAACCACTCGAGATCAAAGCTGTTTCATATAAGAGTTCCACAGCTCTCCTAGCCTCGTTGTTTTCTGGTTCGTTTTTGCATGCAGCCTGCAACATTCATACCATTTATATCCAATTAGTTGTTGTAAAACCAAATTTATAAACATCGTCACCGTATCCCAATTAAGGGTTCTTACACTTAAGTCCTTGATGATAGGGTGGTCAGGGTTGACTTCCATTATTCTTCTTCCCCTCATGAATTCCAAGGTTGAGGTGTCTCCAAGAGTCTGAGCTCTCATCAACCTGCAAAAATTAATTGCGCATATCAAGCATAACATCCAAGTATAAAAAAGATGCACAAATTCACAACGGTAACACTGACCGTTCCATATTAGCAGACCATCCAAACTTGCCCGACACAAGAACACATGGGGAAGAGCTCAAACGGTTTGAAACTTGTACTTTGGAAACTTTGTCACCAAGCTGTTGCTTCATCCAGTCACAAAGGAGGATATATTCTTGCTTATTTTCTCGCTCTTTAACCTCATCGGTATCACCTACAACATTAACCTTCCTTTTGATTAGAAGATGAAAAACGAGCTATTCAAGAAAAAAAGGTGCACAAATGGTTCACTACCGAACTTACCAAGCTCAAGATCTTCCTTGCTCACATCAACAAATTTCTTCTCTTTATATGTCTGAAGATTCTGAATGGCCACTTCATCAATAGGCTCGACTAAATATAGTACCTGCGGATTAGATGTCCACAAGTGGGTTAAGATACAATTCAATAGAAAAAAAACACCAAAATCAGAATCCAATTTCACAGGAATGCATACTTCAATATCCTTCTGCACCAATTTCTCCAAGAAAGGAGCAGACTTGGCACTTTTCAAGCTGTCTGTTGCAATATAATAGATGGCATTTTGCTTCTCATCCATGTTGTCAATATACTCATCTAAGCTTATTAGCTCGTCCTCGCTCTTAGATGAGAAAAAACGCAGCAGTGGGGTTATTCGTTTATGATTTCCAGTGTCCTCGATGCATCCCAACTTCACAAACTTGCCAAAATTTTCCCAAAATTTTCGGTAATCCTGAAATACAATGGTTCATTCTGAGTTAACAAGTACACCTTAAACAAAACAAAATAGAAAACAACTGTGCCATGGAATCGTTCTTAACCTCCTTGTTCTCACTATCAGCAAGTTCTTGTATCATGTCAAAAGTTTTCCTAACAAGCCTCTTTCGCATTATTCTCACCTGGAGTACAAAAAACCAAAGGCAAATATGTCATCTTGGCAGATCATAAGATTGAGATGGGCGTGTATTATAGTTCATTTGATCAGGTGAAGATGGGTTTCTAACATACAATTCGACTTTCTTGAAGAATCTCTCGTGAAACATTGAGAGGAAGATCATTTGAATCCACCACACCCTTTACGAAGCTCAAGTATCTGGGGAACTGCATACCAAGAATCAGTTTAGGTAATTTCCTACAATTATGTCCCTTGACGGTTTTCATGTGTTAAAAATGGCAAGATACTTACCAGCTCACCGTCAAAATCATCTGAAATGAACACCCGCTTCACATACAGACGTATATTCTTTGTTTTGGGATTTACTACATCTTCATTGTTCATCGGTGCCATTCCAGGGATGTAGATTACACTTCTAAACTCCACTTCACCCTGCAAAAGTTGTAACAAGCAACTCATAAGAGATTTCATCATATGCAATCCATAAGATAATAGAAAAGAAAAGAAAATACCTCAGTGGTAAAGTGTGTGCAAGCAATAGGATCTAGAAACTCGTTGAATGTCTTCTTGTAAAACTCGTTGTATTGATCCTTTTCAACTTCCTTGGGATTCCTCATCTACATTTAAATCACATAAATTACTGACTTGAAAGCAAACCAGTGGCTGAAAACCTTTAAGAAATTCAATCTTTGAAGTATTTCAACTTACCCATATAGGTTTTGTCTCGTTGGCCAGTTCCCAATCCCAATATTTTTCGGTTTTAGTCTTCTTCTTCTTATTCTCACCCTAGAAATCAGCAGAATCACCCAACAGCCATTAGTTTTTAGAAATAAAACCTACTAAAGCAATAAGCTAATTCAAGATTCCATTTGTGCTTACCTCCGGTGGTGTTTCTTCTCCCTCCTTTGGTTCTTCTTCCTCCTCTACCTGAAAGAAAAGTCAAGGTCCTATTTAGTTAGGTAACACTTTTTGTGCACCACATCTATATGATGTGATACGATTTCAGGTCACATTGCTTTATGCAATTAAAAAAATGAAAAATGGGTAAGTCGGGCCCATAAAATTAAGACCGGAGAATAATGATGTTACCTCAACTGTCCTTGATTTCTCTTGCCATGTGAATATAGGGAATGAAACAAATTGCGAGTAGTTTTTCACCAAACCCTGAACCCTGCTTGGCTCAGTGAACTCGTATTTGTCATCATCCTATACAGAAAGTCAGAAACAAAAAGAACTTCAATTCATCATCTTAAAACACATATAGAAATAGAAACATAAAACAATTGGAATATTCTATTTCAAGATTTCTATGATGACCAGATAGCATTTGGTTCAAGACACTGAATGCTTCCTTTGCAGATATGTGACAGAAAGCTTGTGTACAAATAGAATCTTTGGTGCACACAGACAACCCCTTGTTCGATTTACAGATCATTCTACTAAAAAAATTCAAATTAAGAAACCCATCTAAAATACCTTCAAATAAAGTGTTATTTCTGTTCCACGGCGAAGCTGCTTCTCAGGATCAGTTTCTTCTCTAATCACGTACGAGCTACTATCAGCTGCTGCTTCCCAAATGTATTGCTTGTCTGACTTGGGGCTCCTTGTGGACACAATTACCTGTAAGAAAAGTAAAAAAATTTAAAACAACCACCAAGATGATCCATAAAAAAGCTTCAATTTAACAAAAAGAATTAAAAGGAGAACATGTAATGAAGGACCTTCTCAGCAACCAGAAAAGCCGAATAGAACCCCACACCAAATTGACCAATCAAACTGTTGTCATTTCCAAGATCCTTGTTCTCCTATACCACAAGAAATGTAGAAAATTTTATTCCAGAACCATCGATCTTTCAGGAACTGATACATGTACTTATTAATGATTTATAAGAAAAACAAACAAGTACCTTAAGAGCATTCAAGAACTTAGAAGTGCCACTTTGAGCAATAGTTCCAAGGCAGTCTATTAGTTCCTCTTTGGTCATTCCAATACCAGTATCTCTACAAAAATAAGAAAAGAATGCTTCAAAAACCTCTTCCATTATAGCAGCGGAGTTTCAGGAAAAGTAAACTATCTTACGAAATTGTGATGGTCCCTTTTTCTGGATCAGGTTTGATACGAATCTCTAGCTCGCCAGCATCTCCAAGCAAGGAGGGGTCCGTTACACTTAAGAATCTCAGTTTATCAAGAGCGTCACTTGCATTACTGGACCAAAAGAAATAAAATAAATGAATGTTTTCTTCAAGAAGCTCACTTGCATTACAGAGTGAAAAAATGAAGCATGTGAACATGAGTTGGTTTGGAGAATACAGACTAATTCATTAAAATCAAGCATACAAATTGAAAACAGACATACATATAAACAATACCCATTTAGTTTATGCATTTGAATTTGTATTAAAACCCTCTTAAAAACTTGAAACAAGATGAATGTTTGTAACTAAAGATCAGAAATCAACATTCATCACATCCATATCTGTAATAAGCATAAATGTCTTTACCTCACAAGCTCCCGGAGGAATATTTCCTTGTGGCTGTATAAACTATGAACAATTAGATTCATCAACCGAGAAACCTGCATCCAGCAGTTCAAGATTTTAATACCAACTCTAACAACTTTTCAAACAAACAAGACAATCTTTAAAGTCTAAACTCAATTAGGAAATACATTTCTATAACAATTTTTACAATAATCCGCAAAAAACAACATTCATCCTTAGAACAATTGCTAAGTTTTGCAAGATGTAGGATATGGCTGCAAACAAAGATTTCCATGGCCATCCTCATAAACAGGAGCTACCATTTGACCCTTTTTAATCATTTAAAACAACATATAATAAGAAAAGACGCATATGAATTCCACCATCAAAACTATTATGAAGCTTTGCAACATCACAACAAACTAGATTAAACCACACACTAGACTGTTAAATTCTGTCATCAATGAAGAACATAAAGATGAGACATGATAAGATAAAATGAGTCAACAAACAGGTGCAGATGTCTCCAATCGACCACAATACAGGAACAAGTGTGGATTTCTGTCGTACCAAGAGAAACTAATTCATCAATCGAAGCATCATCGATAAATAACCCTAGAAAATTTATGAAATTTGGTAACCCAATTACAAACCAAAATAATCAAAAATCCAAATACAACAAAATTGAAAGAAACCCACCTCAGCTTGATATTCATGCTTCTCACCAGAAGCCTCAGGGGCTTCTTTTTCAGCAACAGCAGAAGCCTCACACCTCACCACCACACTGCTACCTCTTTTGTCCACTTTCCACCTCAACCCAGAGCAAGAAAAGCTGTTGGTTTTCAGACCATTTTGATGCAAAAATGCACTTCTCAAAGACAGGCGATTCTGGGTATTGGTCTTTGAAGATAAGAGTGGAGAATAAGGGAGTGAGGCTACAGAAGCATGGGTCAAACTTCTGCTCAAGACAGGAGCCATGATACTGAAAACCCAAAAGGAGTTTCGTTGGGTGAGGCGATTGTTGGAAGGAAGATTGTGAAGGATTGAAGGGGAATGCAAAAACCCTCGAGGCGGAAGAAGAGGGGTTTTAGGGGAGATGAAGACGATTCTAGAAGGAGGCCGGCTGTGTTTGGAAGTTTTCCCCTTATTGAATTGTAAGGTCGAGATGTTGCCATCTCATCACCCTCTCTACATTATCTTGAATCTTGAAATTCATCAAATTTTAATTTTTTTTCTTTTAAACAATTAGAAAGATTTGATTATGAGATCTATAAGTTAAACAACCAAATTTTGGGTTCTTTTTTCTGGTACAAGTTTCAGAATTTTTTTATGTCCGGGAATTAAGGACAAACTTTAATTAGTTTATGGCCAAAAGATGCTACCAAACCCGATCATCCATTGATAAAATCATGTGTTTTGCATGTGAATTGTATTGTTATATCTATTCGATTAATATATTTTAAGTTTAGAAGTTTTCAAACATTATCATATTTTAAAATGTAATAAAATTTGGTTTACTTCCTATTTAATATAACAAAAAAAAATAAAGGAGAAACAAAAATCTTCTTGTAGCCACGGATGTTCAAATGCGGTGACTATGAGCTATGTGCAAAACAGGTGGTCGTCCTGTGATTAGTCGACTCACATAGCAGGTTGGATATACAGGTTAATCAAAAAAAATATGACAAAAAAAATTCAAATGATATAACAAAGTTTCAGAATTTTATTTTTGTACTCGTTTAACAAGTAAGATGTCTATTTTGTTTTATTATAAAATTTTATTACGTCGATTAAGAGGTTGTTTGTTTAAGAGGCATTCTAAATTGTTAAAAGATGAATCTTGTTTGGAAGAAAAAAAATATATCTTTTAATTGTTCTAAAATCCTCTAAATAATTTTGTATTTTCGGCCTCCCTTAACCATTCAGCATCCTAATTTCATTCTAAATAATTACCAACGAATTAATTTCATTTTGTACTATATCATAAGAGCTTCTTAATCATTTTGATCACTTAATCATTTTGCATCAAACTATTTAGCAACTGTCAAACAATCCCTAAGAAATCTCATAACATTAACCAAAAAAAAATTGAAAGTTAGAGGAAAAATATTATTTATCACATCGAGTTGAAACCCAAAACAAACTTTTATTGAATTTATGCATTTTGCCTTTTGAATAAATAAATAACTAAATACATGAAAACTTATATCGATAGGGGAAAAAAACAATTTTACAAACTATTAACTCTCTCAGCGTAAGATTTGTATGGACAGATCTTATTAAAAAATTATAATAAAGAAGGTGGGCCTTATTAAAGCAAAGAAATTTGGTCCTTATTTGTATGATATGGTGTTTGTTTTTATCAAAAATACCTTTTAACGAGCTATGATCTCTTATCGAATAAGAGATTCAATACTTCAACTTGTTCGTTTTTTTCTCCAACAAGAGCTGAAAACATCTTAACATCCTCTTATTCAATAAGTGGAAAACCGAAATCTGATTGTCCTCTTATTAAATCGAAAGAAATAAAATGGGATAAAATACTTAAATAGGATGGATCAGAAATAGTAGAGTGACCGATGGGATGAGAAGCTGGGATGGTGGATTAACGACGAAGATCGACGGAGCAGATAGCATGGGAAATAGTAGAGTGAAATGACTAGCTATGATTTGATTTATTTTAATATTGAAAGTAGTTTTTTTTAACACACTTATCATATATATATATCAATTTAACATTTTCTTGGAAAAAACATTTATCAAATAAATAAAATAAATATTATAATATTGTTTGAGATAGAGTAGATAATATATGTGTTTAGACATTTATCAACTAATAAAAATAAATAGTTTTACTAATTCAGATTTCAGATGTAAAAACAAACAGTATTACTTATTCAAATTTCAAAATTCAGCACCTCCTAAAAAATAAATGACATCTTAGATTTTAAGGGTAGGCCAAGGATCATCCTGGCCGGTGCATGTGGATCAAGAATGACAAATTCAATCAATGAGATCCATGACAAAATCCAAATTTATCTTGGCAAAAATGCCTTCACGTCAATTGTTTCAAATTCGTCAAATCTGGGAAAAACATAACGAACAAAAAGTTACCCTTTTTCAGCGAGCACATGTTATTTGTTGGTAAATACAATACAACCTGTAATATCTTATACCAACTGTACTAGATATTTTTTGTTTTGTTCACATCAGATATAGACAAAGTGGACAATATTTGTACGGTTGATCCGAGATGTTACACAACCAAAATGAAGCAACAAAAGGATGAGACTCTGTAAATGCCGAAAGGTTTTGAAGAAACGAGAAACAAAAGTTTTGATGTGTTAAAAAACAACGATTGGTAATTAAAAATAGCCATATATTATTTTTATTATATTAAAATTACAGTTTAATACAGAAAGATATAGATTTTTTTATTTCATGGCTTGATATTTTACATGTTTATTTTATAACATAATTAGGATTTTAACAAATATATAACACAACACTATTTTACATGTTTATTTTTTAAATTCATACACAATTATTAAATTTTCAATTTCCTAAAATAAATTAAAATTTAACTTCATCAATTTATGAAAAAAGAAAGAAACAAAAGAGTTTAACTTAAATATGGGCCAAACAAGTTGGGCTTTCTTTCTTATTTTGTTCTTTCCATTTTTAGAAATGATAAGTTGTATATTGCATTCATTTGTATATTTGAATTTAGAATATAAAAAAATATTAACCAGATACTCGTTAATCGATTAATTTTTCAAGAACGTGGTTTTGTTTTTAATCTTTACGATTATGATACTAAAAGTGAGATTTAGGAGATGTTTGACATTGCTTATTTGAAACAACTTATGTTTATCTATAAAAGCACTTGTCAACTTATTATAAGTCAGAAGGGTTTAACTTTTTCAAAAATTCTTTATTACTAGTTTGGTACTGGTATAAGTTGTTTATCCAAACACTCAAAAGTGCTTATTATCGGTGTCACACTAGAATAAGTCAAATAAGTTGTTTTTATAAACAATCCCAAACACCCCCCTTAAAATTAATAAAAAAAAAACTCATTTTTCAATTTAACAGATTTAGTTTAAAATCTCATAGAAATGTGATGAAAATCGATTGAGAGCAAAACAAGAACACTGATCCTAACTATATATTTATCCAAACCAAATTATTTAAAAATATAAAATCATGGTTAATAATAAAACCGATTAAAGCCAAGAACCTTATCATCAAGTCAATCCAACCATTTTTTGGCCGTTAGTCCATTTTGTTTTTTAAAAAAAAGTCGATCACACAAACAAGGTATATAAAGTCAATGATGTTCTAAGGTTATATGACCTCAAGATTTTCTATCTCTTTTTAAGGATACTAGAAGGGTACTCGTGTAATGCAGCGAGATACATCTCGATTTTAATGTTTTATTTTATTCTTTGTCGCTATCGATGCTATAATACGATTTTATATGTTTTTACAAAAACGATAACGATTTTATTTTTGAATAAAATATAAATTTGAAGATATCATAAAATTTTGAATTTTTTTATATCAATGTTAGTATCAAATTGACTATTTAAAAGTTCTCATTTTTTGTGTAATTTCTTTAGTTTAATTTTTTTTATTATAATTTAATTTAATTTTAATAACAAAGTAATTTATTTTTGGTTTTTATAACATTTTATAAAGATAATAATTAAGTATTCTTTTAGAACTCAATGATTATCCTAATTTTATTTTAGATTTTTTATATTTAAAATGAGATGTTTATCATGTATTTGATTATATTTATCTGCAGTTAGTTACACGAATTCAGATATGGAGCTTTAATAAGTTGTACTTACGCACAATCTACTTGTAATCTTGAGTTTTAAGTAACATGCATTAACAAACAGTGTTTTATGCATAAAAAATGGTTTTTAAGAGTTTTTTGTCAAATGCTTAATAATATTGTATAGATTATATAATACATCTAAAAACTAATTCTGACAAAAGGACTGTAAGATATTAATCTTGATAAACTCAGTAATCACAATTATTATATACGTTTAAAATCGAACATGAAGATAGATCAAGCATTTCATCATATTTCTTGATTCTCAACTCAACTGCTACTTAGAAAAATCGTATGGTTAAGTCACTTGCATTAATCAATACATCATGACCCGTGAGTGCATCAACTTAAAAGGGAATATTTAAATCTATTTTATCATATATATATATATATATATATGATTTTATATTTTATAAGAAATTAAGAATAGTGGTTTATTTTTAATGGAAATTTTCTAGAAAAAGAAAAAAAAAAAACTTAAAACGTAGAGTGGTGAGACATAGATAGTGATGGTCCATGGAGTTCTGCGAGCTCAATTTCCAATTATATATATTTTAATAATTAATTTATGGGATGGTTTAAAGTTTAAACTACGACCCTTTAAAACTTATAATATATGTTGACCCAATATTTTTAATAAAAAAACATAAAATAAAATAACTGCTTATGATTAATCCAACGGTTAAAATAAAGATTATAAAAGTAGTAAGATTTATGAGTTATTTACCAACAAATTTTGGTAAGTGTTGTATAGAATAAGAGCTCTGTTTGAAATAAGATGTTCTGTCTAGAGTAAGTGTTGTCCAAAAACTTGTTGTTTATTGCATATTAAAAGTTAAGCTCTGGCTGATATTTAAGTACCGTTATAACCCTTCTTGGTATAATTAAATGTTAAATAATGTATGATTATTTATCATATGATATCTAGAACTAAATGTGTATTGATGATATATCTATAGCTTATATATTTAATACTTCTTCTATCCCAAAATAAATGTACATAATAAAAAAAGGTATACAATTTTAGAAATGTATAATTATTATATTTTTGAGTAACAAAAATGCAGTTTCACACTTAATTATAGAGAGATAAATTCCACCCACCACATAATTACGGATAAAATTAGAAAGTAAACATTTATTTTTGAAAGTGAACACTTATTTTGAGACAAACTAAAATCTGAAATTGTTTTCTATTATTTTGTCATATGAAAATTCTAT